TTGAATTCCCATTATTTTCATTCCAGAGATAATATATTCATCTTCATACTTTGTTTCTTCTCTCTCTCCTTGTGCTCTGTTTTTGTTTTTGTTGCTGCACTTGTCTCTTAAAACCAACATATAATATAATCCTAGTACAATTGAGTTCTATATTCATCCCCTTACTGTGACTATGGTATGATTCTTCTCAAATTGGTTAGTTGTCTTTCACCACTCTTCGACTTGTCTAAGAGGAGAGGTAACAAAACATGAAATACATATGTAATTGAATGAGCAAAGTGGCAGGGGACCAAAATCTTCCCTTTCATTCAATTTTGACTCTCAAAAATATCGAAGAGGTTTGAAAAGAAAAGAAACTTTAACTCATTAGACTAACTTATTTTACTTTAGTTATTTTAATTTTATCATTTAAAATATAATAAATTAGTAACATATTTATTTATTTTCTTCTCTCTATTGCGAACCACTGTACTTCTATTTTATTGAAATTTCCCCCTTTCTACTTTCACTCTCTTTTAAAATTCTTTCTTTTTTCAATTCCTTCTTTGATTAATTACAATTCATTTAGAAAGATAAATAAAATAACATATATATATATATATGTGTATAATTGTATAATTATATAATTATATTCTAGAGAAACTCATTTCTAAGAAAGTAGTTTAATTAGAAATAAAATATTATACCATCCTAATTAGATTTTTTTTAAGAAAAAAGTTGCTAATTGATTTATGAAATGTACGATGTTAATGTCATATTTTTTTCTTTAAAATATTTTACTTATACTAAATTAAAATGAGCTTAAACTTTAAGAGCCCAAAGTGTATATTTATATATTTTTGTTTAAGCTTATGCTAATTGACGCTTTTATAATTAGTTAAACTATACCAGTCAAACTTGTTAAATAATACTTCAATATATTGTAGGTGTATAAAATATACATTTTTATAAGGAGTCACAAATAAGTAGTACATGTTTATTTAATTAATTTAAGAAATAATATGATTACGAAATTGCAATTGATAATATTATTAAACGATAAAAAGAATTGCCAAATATTATTTTTTTTACACCAATCATTAAATTTATTTCAAGAAATGAAGCATTGCCGATCACATTATGCGCATATGATGAAGATGAGTTTCAAAACGTTGTCTATATCTACATAAAACAATTTGAAATACTCGCAAGCTAGTTACAACTAATCAATGATCAACTAGATTGTGAAGAAAATAAGAACAAATTTCATACAATTGTAATATGTCTATTGAGCACAAACTTGTTCATTCTACTTCAAAACCAGGATTTGAAGCAGCTAGTATTTTTTTTTCACAATAAAATTAATTATTATTTATTTATTTGCTATAAGCTCGACGGACAAATCTGCAAACCCTAGCAGATACTACTAACCAAGATATTATCCCAATCTGCAATGACAAAAACACAATTAGAAACAGCTTACAAATTAAAAAATAAAAATGAATGCTACATACTATTGCAAAATTTTATAATTTATTCCTGAATATGATCTGTATAATGAGAGGTGAATGAGTTGAAATTGGTGTAGTATGGTTAAAGTATTACACTTGGTCCTTATAAAAAGTCAGGGCAGACCAATCCATTTCTCATGTTTGGCCCAACGGCTGGACCCTACCTATTCTATAGTTATAGGTGACAACAATATAATTTAGACTAAATGGTAATATGTTTTTCCAAAATTAATTTGAGTAATCAACACAAAAAGTGCTCCATTTTAATCATTAAACTGTAATTTCTTTCAAATAATCATAAAAATGATGGCAACTGTTAGGATGGGCTCTAAGTCCAAAAGAAAGAATATTAAATGGCTGAAACTGAAAAATTATATTGAATGAACTTAGAATATTAGTATATTTTTGTATTTAATTTTAATGTTATTTTATATTCACTAAAATAGGATGATGACACATTTAGTGTCATCATTAGTAGCTTTTAGATTATAAATTTGTATCCCCTTAGCCCTTAGAACTTAGAAGCATCAATGAAGAAATATCATGTTTATATCTTAGCTTTAATGTAGCCTTTTATCTTCTCTCATAGCTCTAATGGTAGTTTTCTTAGCATAGCAGTAGCCATAGAAATAGCTATCCTATCAGCAACAGTATGCATTAAGAGAGACCTTAATTAGCAAGGAAGGTAGGAGCAATTACTTACCGTTACACTGTTATTTTGAACTCCTACGGTCTTCCAAGATAACAAGCTCCCTGCAATGAGTGCCAAATATGTTCAAAACTCAAATCAAAAACCTTATTGTGTCTTCTATCTCTAATAACAAGACACGCCATTTATCTGTTAGGCCTTCATTTGGAAACATTAGAAACCCAAAATTAAAAATAGATCGCATGCTAAAAGATAAGAGAAAGGATTTATTATGCAAATTAAAGTATTATATAATCATAATTGCATTACCAAATGGTTGAACAAGTTGCTCAGGTATGGTAGCCACGGGAACACGCCAAAACCAGATAAGCAGCACTCCATATGTTATATACTACACGCACAGAAAAAATAGGTAAGCATCTTTATATAAACCTGTACAAAGAAATCCTGTCAACTTAAAAAGGAAAAATATATATATATCTGAAGTTCCTTTAAGATGAGCAGCACTTTTGTAAACGAAGCTTTATCTTTGTGAGATGAATTTTGGTCTGCATAATAGTTAAACTATCCTTTTAACAAACTAGAGGGTAGGAAAATTAATTTTAATTAATTAAATAACCAACTTTAAATAAAGGATAAACTTTATTTACGAAGGGGGAAATATTATGAAGTAATTTGTTCATATAATATTTTGTTGGAAACACAATTCAAATTTCAAAGTTCAAATTTTTAAAATGACATTCAGATTTTAAAATATTATCTTTTTCTTCGTAAACCAAAGTATTTCCTAGCTGAAAGTTAAGGACTAAACCCTCAATATAATGATATCCATTTAAAAAGTTGATATATCTTAACAAATGCTTTCATACACATCGACCAGAAATCAAACTTCTAATCACATATTTAAGGAATAAAGTTATCTACCAACAATATCACACCTTGTTGGTAAATTCAAAGATATTTATCTAATTATTAAAGATTTAAAGATATTATCTTTAAATTAGACATTTGTTTCCTATTTCAAAATTATGATGTAAGATCTATAAATAAAGGTTTTTGATAGGAGAAGAGTCACTTGTCCTCAAAAAGTGATCATCACCCTAAATGAGAGGAAATAATATAAAACAGGGTTTTTCATGTTTGTTTAAAGAACTTGAAATGAGATGACTTTCTCAAGTTTCTCTAGAAAACTTATAAATAATTAGGGTTTTTCAAGTTTATTTACAAAAGTTGTAATCTGATTTGAGATGATGAATAGATATTGAGATGTTGATGTGGACATAAGCAGGAAGTGTTGATTCACAACAACTTATGTTCTTCAGCTATTTTTATGTTGTAGCATCGTCATTGTGTGCTCTATTTTTTTTATTCTAATTGTGTGAAGGAGTTTGTTGTTCCCCAACCCCAACATATTTTTTTGGTACAAACAACATTCAATTAGTAACGAGAATAAGTCAAGTTCCTGAAACTTATGGCCTAACTTGTAAGAAATATAAGGATTAAATGTCTGGTTCAATCTTCAATCGTGTTTTTCCTCTTGAATAAAAAACAAGTATCTACTATCTACTAATATTAATCTAGGCAGTAAACTATTTGAAGTACAGATACATGATAATATTCATTAGACTAGTTGTTTGTATTTGAATACAAGGAACACAGTTGTATCAGCTGATATTTGTAATAATTAGGCGGTTACAAGTTGTTGTAAAATTGTTTTTAGTTTGTTACACTTTCGGACCATGTAGATAAGGCACATTGCCTTAGTCTTCTAATGTAAGATTCATATGTGAACGCAATGGACAAAAAATTCAGACTCTCTCGCTCTCTCTCTTCTCTTCTCTGCCATGAAGCCCTTGACCATCAACAAGTTGCATGAAATTTGATTATTATATACTGAAACTTGGTTATTTACGAAGAGGCGTGTTATAGGTCCATGATATACACTGTCATAATATCTTTAATCACACAGATAGTTCAATTACCTTCGAATTGAATTAAATTTTATTCACTATTTGTTGTAGTTTTACAGAGACAAGTTTCTTACTCTCTTAGCAGAGAGTATATTTACCATTAAAATTGAGATGACCTTGCTTAGTTACTCCTTTCATCAAATTTCATTTTATACTGTTCGTGTAAAGTCCTCATAGACATATAGCACATTGCACTTAATGTACATTGGAAAGGATAAAATAGGGAAAGTAAAAATCTTGCAACAAGAAATAAACTCACACTTTGAAAGTTCTTTCTCCTTAGCAGCTGCAAGCCTTTTGAGTTTTGCTGCTTGTGCAAAGGTTGATGGCCTGAGAGGACACAAACACACACATGCATAAATTTTGCAATCATATCTTACAACATCTCTTTTTCAGTACTCGTGTTATATTCACTCTCTATTCCTCCTATATCCATCCGATTTCTCTATTTGAATTTCCCCACAATTTTATACCTGTCAACGCTATTGCTTCTTTGTTCTACTAATTTAAATAATGGCAAATATTTCTCATCAATTTATTTAGTTCAAAATTGAAATTAACTTTAACATATTAGTGAATACCGATAAGTCTATGACCCCATATCAGTTCAATTTTTCTCATTCCTAATACTTTTTCATATGTAACTTTCCTACCAAAAAAACTGTAAAACACTTGTCATAGTCGACTTTGGACAACATTGTAGATTTACCCTTTAATTTCCGATCATCAACCACAAACAGACACACATAAACGTAGCAAAATGCTTGACACCAATGAGAACTCATCAAATGGTAACATTAGCTCGACACAAAAAGGGTTCCAAAAGCATTACTTACTGCGACATTAAACTTGCCTCCTTCAAAAGTTGTTTTATTTCTGCGCGCAACTGAATTTCTTTTTCACTATCGGATCCACTCTGTAGAAAAATCATACGAGTAGAGTTAATGCTACAACGCATACAAGCTACAAGGGTTTTCAATTTAACAAAGACATGCTAATTACGTGAGGAAGAAAATTTCTTAATGGCAAAGGAATGAATTCTCACTATGAATCCCTTTTCTTGATTTGTTTATCACGAGAATTTGAGGTTCTCAAATGGTAGAGGAGAATGGGAAACCTTAATTAGCATTGATTAATTTTGGTTGAATTGAAAAATAGAATGGGGAAAAGAAGATGAAACCTTCTTAATAACGTGATCGAGGCGATAGTATGCAAATTGAAAAGCAGCAACGATGATAAAAATGAGAGGAGCTGCTAAGGACCTTTCGCGTTCTTGGGTTGCTTCGTCTCCCATTATTCACGATTTTAAGGTACAAGATCTACGCAGAGTTAATTTCAATGTGTCTTTATCTTTCTTCCTTTTTTTCTCCCTACTTTCTGATTTATCCGGGGAAATAAATAGAAATAGAAGAGCTTAAATAACTCATAGGCTTTGAGTATGGAAATTTGGGATATCAAGACCAACATTATAAGTTTCCCTACTTGGCTTCCCTATCCTTATATATTTGAATTTAGGTTTAGATATATTTTTAATTCATGCAAATATGTTTAATCTAGTTTTAGTGTATCGTAATATTTTTTTTTTAATTTTTTTTTACATTTTCTTAATATATTTTGAGTCTTGTAAATACCATTTATAATATGTTAGAAATTAAAAATAATTATGATTTGTTAACTATTTTAGTGTTAAATTACCTTGAGTTAATAATAAGAACTAAAAAAGAACACTAATAAAATGTCAAGCATCTAAAAGTGTAAACTTTTATAATATTTATGAGATTGAAAACATATTTAAACTTTAGATTTATAATAAATATTTATAATATTATATAAACTTATTTTTAAACATTAATACTTTTTAAAATATTAAAATTTAATTATCATTATAATTACTTTTTCCACCTGGGAGTATAGTAGTAACAATAAAAAATAATAATTATGATGAGGAAGAAATGATGATAATAATAATGATAATCACATTTATAATAGAGTATTTGAAAAAAATAGTTATAATAACATTAAAAATAATAATAATAATAATAATAACTATAATAATAATAAT